CATATTAAACCCCTTAAGTGTGAAATGAGATCTCGGACCGCATATGAATTATAACAACGAGTGCTAAATTGCGGTTATGACAATTTAAGGGGCCATAAAAAATGGTCGAGTGGAAATGATGCTTGCAATCTCACGCCAGGTTTCTGCCGGATAATCCGGTGACATGGTTACATTTTGTCGCTGTTTAACATGTCTCATCGTTCTTGCTGTTTTCGAGTAATTCCGCTAATTTGCAGCAACATAGTTTGCTAGATTCTCAAGAATGAGCTTTGCCTAACCGTAAAACAGCATACCTATACAAATGGTTGTAAGAATCTAGATAAGCCGTTTCCAATTAGCTTAGTAAAATGCCAAAGAATTCTTAACGTCCATAGAAGGCAAAGCTCACATCTACTTGGGATTATCAGATTTTTTTGGTGAAAGTTTATTGTTGGGGGCAGGAAAAAAATTGGCCAATTTTCACCGTGAAAGCAATATCTATAAATCTCCCATCTGCATCAAACCGTTTGATATGCGTGCTATCAAGTCGATTTGTTGGAGCCCCCCCGCTTTTGGCTCTGATTGGAACAAATAGCCTCCAGCAGGAGGCCGTTTTGGGCACGGTAGTCTATAGTAGCCCCATTTAGCCCCTCCGATTCTGTTATTAATTGCTCAATTACAACTATTGCACTGCCGCTGTTTTTTTCATTATCTCCCGACTTGAGTAAATCATTGTGTAAGTTATTGTGTGTCTGATGTTGGCATGGTATTGAATTTGCAGCGGTATCAGATTGAAAAGTTTCTTTTGTAGGGCGATTTTTTAGCTGGCATAATCGGTATAACACATACGGTCAATAGCGACAAATGTTATAAAAATTCACTTCTGATAAGAGCTAAAACGTTTCGCAGCAGGAGTTGATGGGTTTTTGTCACCATTATCCACCCTGGCATAGTTAATTATTATTGCTATTAAAAAGACGTTTATCCAAAACAATTTGTTCCATTTCAAAATTGTTTCAGCTAACTATTTGCTAGCAATATCAATCGTTTAGAAGTCCAACATAGTCGAAGGTAGCCCAAGAACTATAAAGTTCAGTATTCAAGAAGCCAAACAGGAAAAATACCTATTAAACGAGTTAGTTTAAAAATGCAGGATGTATTATAAAGCATAATCACCTGATAATAATGGTAACGGAACATTTTCCGCTCAAAAGAAAACAGTCTCAACCCACTTTTCTATAGAAAAAATGTCTTGGTCCGCTGGTATCAATGCAAAGGCAATTTATGTCGTTGCATTTGTCCCTACGGACAAGTACGAACAGTTTTGGTTATTCTTGATTTAAAATCAAATAACTTTTTATGATTGTGAGTTTTTGAAAGAAGCTTAGGTAAACATGAATCCTGAAAAATTATTAAATAAGAACAACTTCTTCAGAAATTAAAAAAAAATCCGAATTTCAGAATTGGTATGCAGTTCTGCTCATTTATAAAAAGGAAAAAACTTTCAGGGAACGTTCATAAGCTAAAACAGATCAAGGATAATTCAATACATCGTATGTTAGGTTTACAAATGATAAAAATTAAATATTCAATAAAAGTACAATACAGTAAGTCTTGTTAGATATTTGCAAAATGTATCAACAATTTTTCAGGGTCTTTGTGTACGTATATCTTTAAATGAGCTTATTTATTTTTCCAATATTTATGGTTACCAAAGCTTTATTAAAACAAATAACAATTCATTTTTAAGCAAGGAAAAGTAAAAGGTGACACTGTGCCACGCTTATCGGACGACTAGTAAATTTTATACTGTTATGGATCAAAAACCTCCAGAATAATTTTTTGGTATCCGTAATCAATTCAGTTTTTGATTCGATTAAACATTAGCTCTTGGTAAAATCTGTAACATTAAATTTTTCTATTTCATTTAAATTTATTATTTATTTATTATTTATTTAACAATTCAACAAAGTAAAAGCGGTAAATATCATAGTATACTACCACATATTTTTACAATAAATTAATTGTCAAACGTTTATTATCAAGCGTTTTAGGCTTTCCCAAAATCGATTTTTCAGTAATCGCTGTATGGCACTTAAATAATATATTTCTTTCGTTGCTTCTACCCAGCCTTATTTAAGATGCTCCATTAGTAGGGAATTATTCTCTAATGTACCAATTGTACCACAAGTCGTGTTTCAGAAAAAAAATTGAATAAATTTTTGGCCATATGAATGATCTAATTTATTTGATCAACATATTTCTGGCTCTGAGAAAGATTTGACTCGATTTTCATTCTAAGATGTGCTTATTATCACAGGTAAAGGCACAATAATTAGCATTATCGGTTCAACTTTCTGGTTTCCGCCATATTTTTTCATTTGTGCCATATTATATGATTCAGGAGAAGAACCGCCGCCGACTAAAAAACTATTTTCTTGTTAGTCATGCATCTAGAATAAATCTTGGTTTTTCTGCACATATTGAAGGAAGAGAGTAAATTGCAAAATATATCATATAGTAGTATACGTTAGAAAATAATTAAAACAACATTTAGAAGAAAAATTTGCAGAAAATTAGTCACAATAACAAAACAAAATAGCTCAAAAGATCAAATAAATTAACACTCCATTTTCATATTAAAATAACATCAAATCTGCCTCAAAGAAAAAAAACCGTATCATCCATAAATAATGCTCCACACCATCCAATACGTCAAATTGAATAACAGCGGATTTTTCACAACTTTTATACCATTTCACGCGGCTTTTGTCCAAATTTTAAATCTGACATGTTCTCACAATCTGAAAAAAGGTGCCCGTTAAATATTCCGGGAGTTGAAAAAGAAGCCTCTTGAAGATGTTTAACACCTGTTGGTTCTTTGGCTTTGCCACAAGATTTATTTCGCTTTTATTATTTCATCTTTCATATAAATGGCTAAAATATGATGTGGGAGACTCTATTAAGACGTGACAAAGCACTCTGAAGCCATTAACATATCTATGGCTTGCTTGAATTCCTTTTCTTAAAACGTGATATGAAAAAGTATTTAGTTTTACAGTTCGAAACTGCTTTTAGCTACTTGAATATTGCAACTTATTTATGATGATTTGAAATATGTTTTCTTTGAAAAATGAAAAAAAAAAACAGTCAATAAAGAGAAGGATATTTAGGTAAGTAAGTCTGATTACCGCCTTTACATAACATCACAATGGTCTGTGCCAGAGTATCTTTGTAACTAGTTTTGATTTTAAAACATGTCTAGTCCTTATTTGGAGTTTTTGCAAAATAATTCTCGAAATTTCAGACATTTTTTATTATTTCATTCATTATGGCATTTAAATGGTGCTGGACTTAAAATTACCCCTTTGTATTATTACGGTCGAGACTTTATTACTTATTTTCACTAAATGGTTATCAATTGATTTTTGTCTTCAAATATGTTATGAATATATTTCTTTTATAGTTTTAGGGTCTTAATTATTCTCATTTGTTGATGGAGTTGAACGATGCCAATAAAGCATATAATGCGATTTTCTTAAATGTGGATTTGTTTGGTCTAAAGCCTTGTTGTTTTTCACATATTCTTCACTTTGCTAGTTCTTCACAACAAAAATCATAATTTTCGTTTTGCAAACTTAATGTGGCTTGTTTTTTAATTTGCTTAAAGTTTATTTTGGTATTTTGTGTTAATTTTTCATAGTTCATTTCAAGTTTCATAAATGTTACTTAGACTGTCAGTACGAATCCTTTCGCTAGTTTGGAATGTTTCAAAATAATTTTCTATGGCGATTGTATGTTTGACATCTAAAACATGAAAACAAGAATTGCCGAATTTGGGTAAACAAATTTTATCAACATTTTACAATTTTTATGTACTCGTGTTCGTACAATTTTTAACACTTTTACTTAAATTTAAATTAAAACTATCAAGACAGGTTATTCTTTTAAACATAGGCAATACGCTTCATTTGCAACTTTGGGAAAACTGCTTAAATTTCTATAATTCTTCTGCTGATCTAACTTTTTCGTAATTGTTATACCTATTTATTTTTGGGATATTCCCTAACGATATACATTTTACACGTTCATCGTTGTTTTTAATTTTATTTATTACATATGTGTTGCATAGTTGGCGAATTATTCCATTAAAGACATTAACTAAATTTTCAAATTGTGGACAAACCATATTTAATTTTAGGGACTAAAATGTCTTGGTAAAAAATTATACATCTGATAACGGTATCAAAATCGTAACGTCCGTCACGAAGGAATAAGTAAATTAACGAATATGCAAATTGACCGCGTAATGGAACTATTATTTGATATATTATCATCAACTGCATAATGAAAATTCAACAGGAATTAACTGTGACTTTTTAATACTAGTCTTTTTCTGCTTATTTCTGATGCAAGGTGTGTTAATTGAGAGTTTACTGTTTTCCTTTCATTTCGTCTCTTATTCATCGCGCACTCAACTGAAAATAATTTAAAACTGCTGCGAGGCATGCAAGAATATTTATTTTAATAAAAAATGTGTTTTACTGCTTGAAATATTTACAGGGGATCACGTTACGCGGAATTCTAAGGACGTCATTATCATGCAATGATATTGGGTACTATTCAAAGCATTAAGTTGTACATGAGCATGAAAAACAATGCATTCCATTTGATGCCTTGAAAGCGAATTCGTTTTACATTTACTAAATGGTATGCGACTTCTTCGCATTTTCTATTTATACATTTTGTTTGGGTTGATTTTTTTGGTTCACTGCATAAAACAAAATTTCATGTTTATCGCCGCATGAGGTATTCACGCCCAAATGCGGCTTAACACGAATCAAAACATAAATCCGGGCTTAAGAACATGAGAAAACAGTGCTCTTCCTCACGAAATCTCATAAAAATCAGCAAGCATTCCTTTTGCACCGTGAAACATTATTATAGCGCCATTGCAATGAGCTATTTAGTAAAGTATAGATATCTTTGCCTTTCCTATCTAAGAAAATGACTCGGCAAGCTAACGAGACTGAATTTATTGAAAAAATGTTATAACAGGATATACCACATATTCTATATAACTGTTACAATGCCCCGTATCACCATTACTATGTAACTTGCTGAATAAAACAGGTTAACACTATTTTGTCCACCAGATCGCCGATCATCTGCTATCTGAAATGGTCACAGCATTGAACCAGAATATTCATTAGGCATTAGCATAGGATAAGCACTGGCCGTCCGACGTACCGGATTTATGTCTATTAGTTCCGTGGAACACACGAGCAACTCGTTCGGATATTCTATTTATGAAATTTATTGGAATGTACCGGCATTCCGGTACGCCCATACAGTTCCACTGCTAAAGGATTTTAACCCATTGAGTTTGTTTTATATGATCGAATTTAAACCGTTCTACCTATTTCTTCTTGGTTGGAGTCTTGTTTTCAACAGTTCTTGCGTTATATTTTCTCTAGATACTTGGCTGTTTCAGGGGTAATTACCTTGTAATGTTTATTTTCCTTTTTAGTTTTATAAATAATAATGAAACCAGTGTGCACCGTCTAAAAGAATAATTACTGACTCAGAAAATTGGTACTTACTGAATTTACTACTCGCTTTATTGTCACTACTTTCTGCTTATTTCGGATAAAAATTATTATCTGAGTGACCGTTTACCTCTTAGTGTTGTTTGATGGATTTATACCTATTTCAGGCCGTGTGTATCTAAAAATGGAAGCATTAATTAATGTTTATGTTAACCAATAAATCACCGATTTGACCTTAAAATGGAAAACATTCAGTGGAGCGTAAGTGGCTCATGGGGCCCCATGTGGGGTGGATAATAAAGACACCAGGGGGGACTAACTTCGACTACCAAGATTCATCAATAAAAAATATGGGGAAATATTTTTCGGTTTATTGTAGTTGCTTACCGTGTACTGCGTCTCGGGATAATAAAACAAGAAATGAAAACGCGGAATTGTTCTTACAGTGCGGTAATTTGCTAATTATTTATGGTCAAGGTATGTAAATTTTTATATAAATTATCTATTATGAAACTGGCTAGTTGCATAAATCCCAAATTATTTTAAGCAACATTGGTTGTGAATTTCAATTGCCCAAGATGCGCTTTTTGTTTACAAAAGAGAATGAAACTGAAAATTTGCCCTATGTAGTTGAGAAGAATTGAATATCTGCTAATTAAATGTTTTAATAGAGTTTTTAAAACAATAATTTTTATTACAGGAGTTTCATAAGAGATTTGCTGAACTATACTTCATAACTTCAGTTCACAGTATTAGGTCTCATTTGCTACATATTAAAGTGATATAGGTATCGCAACCTTAAAAGCTCCAGATCCAGGAAAATATTTACGAGATCACTAAATAATATCCTAAGATTGGTGTTAGTGCTTGTTTTTATTAAATTTCAATAGAACGTAGAATATCTGCGTCTATCGTGTCGAAAATTTTACAAAGACCTAAGGAAGGTAAACTTTATGCAGGTTCGACATTGTTATACATTTTGCATTCTCAAAAGCAATGTCTAAAAAATTCTTTAACTCTTAACCATTTTACATGTTGATTGACGCCCATTTTGATTAATTCTTCATTAATTCTTTAATTGATCCATTGAATGCAGGTGGAAAATATCCATTTTTTAGTACCTACGTAAATTCAGGTTTTATAAATATTACTTGGATACTGGATCAGGATTGCGATTAATTTATTTTGCTTATTGAATTTCTTACCAATATATCCAGTAGATATTTAAAGAATTAAATTTTTCAAATTTATCTTTTGCTACCGATTTTATTAAGGCTATTCTATTTTTATTATGGCTTATGAAGCTGTATGTGTATTCGTACATTTTTATTAAAATTTTGTTAATTTCTGTTTGTATATTTTGATAATTTTTTGGTTGTTTCCAGCTTTTTTAATATTATGCGTTATCCAAATCTTCGAATTTCATGTGCCCATTTCTAATATAGATACGAATTTTATATAAATTCTGTGTTCTTTATTATTATGTATTTCAGTCTTTTTATTTGTGTGAGTTTCAGTAAATGCATTCGCATATTGCTGTCAATAAATAGGCGTGAAAATGACGATAGAAGTTTTTCCATCTGATGTTGGAATAAAATCGAAACACAAAATTTGCAATTAAAGGATCTGTATGGAAGTTGTATTTTGACTGCCTGTGAAGTCAAGAATTCCGAATGGTTTCAAACAGTTCAATTTCAATCAGATTTTTGGTGTAGTTGATTCACTGTTACAACGCCAATACCAAACGAATTCATTTGCCCAAGGTTGTTTCCAAGAGCCAAATTTGCTCATACTTTGGAACCAGTAAATTATGTAATTTACAGCCGAAATTGCCGTTAAAATATTCATACTTTAGCTAACTGGCCGATTATTGCAACCTATATATAAAAGTTTTAAAGGATTTTACTTTCTTATTAGCATCTGAACGGTTTTTATTCGTTTCGTCGATGAACAAAAATTGATTCTGTCAAAGGTATCTTGTTAAGGGCTTAATTTTTAATGAAATGTTAATAAGCTGGTCCGAAAATCATTGACTTTCGTTGTGTTAAGCCGCTTATTTTCATTGGTGGGAACCGGAAGCCGTTATTTGTCTCAAGATTTCGGTTGTAAGATCTGATCAGATTTTCTCATCGAACATGGTTAATCGATGAGGCAAACTGATAAACATATCGACATGTGGCTGAAATGCTCATGGAAAAAACCATGCAAAACCCATCAGGAATTTGGTCAGATAAACATACCATATCCGTACAATAAACAACAAATAAAAAAGTTTGATGAACACAAGATTAGACTTACAATAACAATACTGGAGGTTTGTTAATAAGGAGCTGTAGATGGGGCGCGTTTTTCTGCAACGATTGATTTTGCGTTTAAGCTTATTTGCTTGAATTTGCAAATATCATACAAAAATTAGCCACTTTTATTTTTGAGGATACAAAATTTCTATTAAAATGTTGGCTATCTGAAACCTATGAGTACTGATATTTTTCTCTCGTATGTAAGAACGATTACGTGTTTATGATTGTTCTACAGGGTGCCCCGGGTAAAAAACATAACAAGTTTCTATAAAAAAATTTCAGAGGCCCCCCCTACGGAAATACAGGCCTCTAAAGGAGCCACTTTAACCTTAAACTAAACAAAATATGCTCTTGATTCATATCGATAAACAGAACGATTTTTGAGGAAAAAATATTTTTATTGAATACGAATTTGGTATTGGTAAACGTTCCTAAAATTATTTACGGAAAGTATTATTTCACCTACTCAAAAAGTACGATAATGCAAGTACAGACATGTTTTTATTACCCGTCTCTCTTAAACGACGATCCACTCTTCAAAATTTTCTATCCGGTACTCTTCAAAATCGTTCCGCGTAAAGCCTTTCTTTATAGGAACTTGTTATGTTTTTTTAACGTCTGTACAAATCCCAGTGCATGCCCACATATTCTGGGGCACCCTGTATATTTGTAAAAATAATACACTAAATGCCAAATTTCATATTTTTGCAAAAAAGAATCTGCAGGCATTAACATTACAACTTAAGTGTGTCTGGTCTCAATTAACTGGTTTCAAAAATAAGATGGTCTTGGAACTCAAAAACTTTACAAGTTATAAATGATTTTTTGCTGAGGCATCTTTCTCATTTTTTCTTGTTCTATAATTTACTATAATATTTCCATACTATGTATATCTTCCTATATATCATCATATTTCCCTGTGTTAAAAAAAATAATTTTTCAGCTCCTGAAAAGGCGGAGAAATATCTGTTTGAAGCAGAAGTCATGACAGGTTTCTGAGATCGCTTTCCTAGTAAAGACGAAACGAAAGTTAAAAAATAAACATTTAATGATGTTTTTATATCTCTTTTTCTGATTTGGAAGCATTTCCATTTACTTGGGAAACTACTATTTCTGGTACCATTAGGTGTGTTTCTCAATGAAAGCGGATTAGAAACAATGTTCTAAAATTGTAAGCTCAAAAGCGGTAAACGATAATGTAGTCAATTATTTAATTTGTAATAGTTCGGGAACCACAGGAGATATAGGAAAACCGTCCAATTATATGCAAAGCTATCATTTCAAGTGGGAAATATTCAAGTCCATAGTAGTTTACTGGACTTTTCTCGACGCTTAAAACTTAAGTATTCTGATCCTGCTTTCCATCATCCATTAAAAAGAATTGATCATAGCGTTTTGGAATATTTTTCTTCCTGGCGTTTCCTAAGGAGAGAATTTATACTTCTTATTTAGATCGTTGTTATGTTATTTAGAACATAGTTTTCTGTGTTACAAATTTTCCATATCTTGCTCCTGGTTTTGCCTTTTTTTATATGTTTATTTCATATGCTGGCCGGCAGCGTTTCTTATTAAGTATATATTTCTACAATATCTACCAAACTGAGAATTTTTTACACTTCAAAGACCTGTTAAAAGTATGCAAATGAAGTGAATTTAACGTGCCTGCAGAACTGAACGGTTCATGGATGTTCTCTCTGATATTTCGATAAACAATTTGATTAAAGATCTTCAAGTCACATCATGAATTTTCTAGATTCATTTCAGCATGTCCACCTGCAACTACAAAAGCAACACATACCCGTACGTAGCCAACAAAAGAGCTCATCGATAAATTTCGCTGATGACCCGTTCAACACTCGTCTTCACATAAGAATATTCGGCACAATAGGCGATTGTTGAGTCGGTTTTCTGCCTTTGAGCACCCATCATTAGCATTGTCATCGTCAAGTGAAGGCGGTGGTTCTTTTTCAAGTGACATGTCGATATCATTAACAATGTCATGGACCATACCGGTTCCTCTTTTTTTTTGGTTTTGTTTTTGCTCGGTGTTGTCGATGGTCGATTATGGATGTTTCTGTTGTAGATTAGAGAGTTCATTAGAACTATTACCAGATTGTTCGTTTCAAGTTTAAGATCAATTATGATTTTGGTGGAACAGAGCCTTCTTTGTGTAGAATGGTTTACTTTTTCAAATTTGCCGGTGGATTGTTAGTAGGGGGTTCCGAATTGGCATTATTATCTTTAAGGCGTTAGTCGGGATTAGTAGGAGAATATGGAAACATATTCGGTGTTGCTCCATTTTCAGCTTTGCCATTAAAGCATCTTTTAACAAACTTTAATGGTCATTTGACAACTTAATAGTATACCTGGCTTACAAATAATAAATTGGAAAACTTGCTTCCACTTACATAATTTTCCTATTTGGTAAAAATTACGACTGCAGACATAAATGTGGCGACAAAAATCACAGCTTTGCAGTACATTTGTGGTTAGATTTTTTATATGCTCAACGTTTTAAATGCATAAAAATTGTCGCTTCCATGAGCAAAGCACAGAATTCGCTGGGTTTTTATTTCATACAAGCGAATTGATTCTTGTGAGAAAGCTAACGTGAAACTGAAGGAAAAAATTTAAGAGGCAGATTCTTAACGGCTTTTCGTGGATTTCAAAATTCCGAAGAAAGTTCGCATCATGCTATTGTTTGAAAAAGGGCTGGAACTTGCTGAATCAGACAACTTTCGTCTAAAGGTCAATTTTACAGATAAGTTCCAAACACTCTTGTAAACAATGAAAACTGATGTTGTGAAGTAAGGTTCTAAAATTAAATTGCTCAGTTCTGTAATAATCAGGGCAGTTTTGTGATAAAACTCGTGTAGTGCAAGCAGCAATTTATGTTACTACGTCACGAGCTCAGTCAACAAAAGGAATTTTGGAATCAAGAATCTGTTCTATCAGCAAATTGTCAAATACGTCGCGTGTAAATAAGATTAAGTAAATTTTTGCAAAATTTCCTATATGGTTTTTGCAATTATTTCAGCTTTTGTGAGTAGCAGAAGTATCAATTAAGTAAATGTTGAAATTTTGAGAAATTATTGCACACTGGAAAGCGATAATCGCATTTAGAAATAATTTGTTACATTATTAACCTGTTTATAAATAAAAGTAGCATTTACACCTGCTTTTCATAATAATTAGATACGTATCTCAATGTTAACTTCATTAGGTATGAAATAACGAACTAATTATAAAATAAATTAGCATATCTTCCGTAGTGTGGATAGATCTAAGTTACGGCTAAAACAGTAATTAAAAAGTTCGAAAACCACACTAAATAAAATTCTATTAAAATTATATTTCCATATATAAAAAAGCAAACCCGAATGTAACCTTGCAATCAATCAGTAGTAGCTTTGAGTACTCGTTTGGAGAGTTCTAAAGATCTCAGCAGGGAGGCACACTTAGCCGCTAGCGACGCATAAAATATGGCAGTAAGTTCTCCCGTTTTTAATAGTTTGGCCACATCTCGAAAGAAGTTTTATGAGGAATCAAAAAGGACCGCGGTTGTTTCATCACCTCCACAGTGGGGGCACGCATAAATTTTGACTGAAGTCAGCTGAAGTAATGGAGTCATGATATGTTTCAGTTCGATTAATTATTTTTTATTTGTTCTGCCGGGTAGTTGTTTGTTATACCGCATTGATTTGAAATTATTAGTAAATGGAGTTGGTCTTGAATAGGCAATCTAGTCACTTAATGAGACCAAACTTTTTGCAAAACCAGCTATTACCTAATGGTTGAATTGATAAAAGTTTCACCGTTTTAGTTTTTTGCTTCTTGCGACTTTGCAGTCGTGTTAATATTGTTGATACTAACAGATGTGTTTGAAATTAGAGCCATATTAAGAAAAGCCTATATTAATTTTTTTTGAAATTATCTACTTAGATAGTGTGAGGACAACAAAATGTTTTAGGCTCGTCAAAAGTTTCATCGTCTGAAAATCATTTTTTTTTTGCTTAAGAACCGTTAGTTTCCAATGACTTAATGCTTAACTGCATAGGAAGTTTTGGTTCTGGAAAACTTCTGCCCAACCAACGCCCATGCTTATTAATCATTTCTCAACTAAATCTCGACATTCGAGCCTCCACGACTACCATAAAGCAGTAGCAGCAAGGTACCTTTCATGTCAACTACACAGTTTCATCTTTTTAACTTCTCACTTTCTGCCTAAAGCCACCTTATTAATATTATTTTTATTATATTATTTAGTGTATCTTTTATGCAGTAAAATTAGAAAACATCTAGCAAAATATATTTAATAAACATTAGGCAAAGGCACGTTTCAAACATAAAATTCGGGTTTTTAAATATACGTTAGACCCATATATCATGTTGTCTCCTTTGATGAAATAGTGTGTATGAAAGTACCATTAGTTCAATTTATTTATCTACTTTGGTTAACAAAAATACAGGTTAGTTCAAACCTAAGTGTTATTGAGTAGTAAAATGAGTATTTGAAGTAAAATAAACAGAATCATAATACATACTAGCCATAACAAGGACTTTCGGTCGGAAAACGGTCACTTTTTTACTGACGGCATTTTTTATGATAAATTTTGCTCAGAATTCTTATTGTTCATATACAGTGTTCATATTAAAATTTGTAATAGTTGACTCCCACATTAAAATTAAAACTCCAAAAAAATGACTGCTGATTCAATCGTTTGATTAAAACACTAACTTTTACGAAAGTCAACGTTTTTCTGGACTAATAAAAGACTAAAGTTCACTTCCAAAAATCACAATATATATTTTCAAGTTAGTGACTGGCAGCTTATCCGTCAAGGTTGTGTATACTTAAAATTTGTGTGGTTTAAGTCGGTATATAGAGAAATAAAATGTAACATTCTATCCAGATATCTAGAACAGTCGTGTCTAAACCCTTTCATGCGTGGTAAATCTGAGCACACTGAAACAACATTTTGAAGTCACTCACCATTAGCGCTAACACCGTTATTATCTTGCACATTAGTTCTGTTTAAGAGATTGTAAGAAGTAATTTTTTTCAATCAATATAGGAATTTATTTATACGATTTTTGCGAACATTCTACGACGAACGGGCTTGGCGATTGATTTCCTTTATGCTTCTGAACGCTTCTACTCGTTATTTCTTGAGGAAGCTTTCAGCTTTCTTTAGCAAATCTTCAGTACTTATATTTTTATAGAGTCCCAAACAGAATCTTTCAAAACGCACGTTTAAACAGAAAGTTTAATCTCATGCCCAAGTTCCATTATAAAAATTGAATTAAAATTGGGAACAAAAATGTTTCCAAAAATTAAATTATAAATGGTTCTATAGATGAACACACAGCGACCCTGTAAACGCTTTGCCATATTCAAGCTTCTTTTTTTATTTAGTTTACTGTTTTGTTTATAATAAAGAAAAACTTTTAACTGCTCTGCTCTACTGGATTTTAATGTATTTCAATTCAAATTATTGCCAATTCTCATTGTACTATCCCAAAAACTGTAAAAAAAACCAAAAGCATTTCTAGGTAGATATATTGCAGTATTACTAGAAACTTTTTCAAAAGAAGCGAGGTACTTAAGTCATTTTGTAATTTTGCTTCATAATTAAAGCAATCTATAATTTTCGGCAAATATTGACCGCTAATTGTATCACTGAGTTGATGAGTAGCACAGAAATTGTCATTTAATAAATATTAGCATTTAATAAAACAGACCGCCACTAGAAACCAAACATGAATTAGCAAAATAGGGTTGCTCTTTTTGTTGCAACTGAAATTTCCTTTCATCCTTCCGTAATATTTGTCTGCTTAATTGGTTCATCATCTTGTTCAAGCATGTTACTTTCACAGCATATTTAATTGTTTAAATGAGAACATAACGACTTCTCCTGAAATACATTCCGCCCTTCTTCTACTCACTTAAGGTGAATTCTATTTTAGTACGTGGAAAATTAATGATCTAAAATTGGAATACAACTTTGACTGCCATACATAATATAGAACTTCACATCTCTGTCGACGGGCCTCATATTTCTGCTCAGTAATAGTGGCCAGCACAATGACAGACTTATTTAGTACCCCCCACAGTGGCTACCTCTCCAAGAAGGAATTCATATTTTCGATCATCGATTTTTTAGATAAGATCTACATTTTTCCCAAAGTCATTTTTAACAGTCTCCTATACGTCCATATAGGTCTCTTTTTGTGGTTCAGTTTTTTCGAACAAGGATTTTGTTTACACCCCCATGATATAAATATTTGTAAAGGTCGATGAACAGCTATTGGTATGTAGAAGAATGCACGGTTGTCTCAATGTTAACTCAGTAAATGCCGATAGTAAATAACAAACACGATTTTTTTCCACGGAAATTTCACAGAGAGGTTAAATTTAAAAACCTCCGTATTTTACGTCAATGGTTTTTTAAAAATTGATACGAACTAAAGATCAATTGAAAATGGAACCCTGAAAATGAACTAAATTATAAATTTATCTGAGTTATGGATTTTATATAATAAGCTAATGTAGGTAGTAGTTCGGATATATTTACTGACGAGGTGAAGTACAGTAAAGTTCTCCTATAAAAGCTGTAGCAATCTGGAAGTTAGATTTGTTTAGCTAGAAAGCGCAGCAATTTTACTGAAAAGTAATTTTGCTAAATTTAAATTCCAGGGAATTTGGACCAAGGAAGAAAATAAAGCACAGTGATTTTTATATTTCTTCGCAGATAAAAAAGTGAATTATTCTTACTTCTAATTACTAAGCTTTGTTAGAAAATATGTTTGAGTGTCATAATTATAACTTTTTTTGAATAGTAAAAGCAGTGAATACTGAAAAGCAGCCAAATTAACAGACAGTGCACATGGCTTTCGTTCTCTTTAGACGTGATATGTATTATTAAAGATGTTTAAAAGACGTGAAAAAATTGAACTATTTTTTTATTTA